AGTTCTCTAATATATTATATCACGAGGCCGAGTCCTCTTATAATCGTAACAATACTGTATGAATATAAAATAATAAAGTTATTTCTAAAATAATACGTGGAGTGAACTTCCCTGTATACTACAAAACATTTGGTGCCTCCTGTGAGGTCGTTCGCGAGGCGAACGCGGACGACGACGACACTCAGAACAACGATATTCCGCCAGCCATTGGATTCCATTCAACCACAACCCGACGAGGCCTCAGGAGATAGATGAATCTGGATTCACGATTAAAACTGGATAACGAAATAGGATCGAGCAGATCATACAACAGAACACGAGCTAACGGCGAGTACATTATTCAAAACTAACAAGTTACTGGTCGCGCCATTCCTCTATCCTTCACCTTTTCATAACGGCATCATGACCGAGAGAATTAAACTTCTTATTCAGAAGCGAACTTCTTTAAAATCACAAATTACTAATTTAACAAATTTAACCGAGAAGGATCAACATGGCCATTACGATAAGACCGCATTAGAATTGCGCATGTCACGCGTAACTCAGCTTTACCATGCATATGAGGATTACAACGACGAGTTGCTAATATTAGATCCGAACGAAAATCATAAAGTCGAATTCACAAATGTACAGGATAGATTTTATTCACTCGCAGCCAGAATCGGAGCTATAACGAATCCCATAGAGTCCGTCGCGAGCACTAACGTGGCGAATGGTACACCTTCCCCCGTTGACCAGGTACCCACGGTTATGAAACGCAAAATAAAGCTGTCTGAAGTATCGTTGCCTGCTTTCGACGGGCGATATGAGAATTGGTTGTCGTTCAGGAATGCCTTTATTGCCATGATAGATACGCGCGCGGATTTATCGGATATCGAAAAATTACAGTATTTACAATCAGCATTAACCGGCGAGGCGGCTAACAAAATTAAAATATTAACGATCGAAAACGCGAATTATTCCAAGGCTTGGGAACTATTGAAACGCGCGTACCAGGTAAATCGTATCTTGATCTCACGTCACCTCTCATTGTTGAGAAATCTACCAATATTAGAAAAGGAAACTACTGAGGGATTATCTAAGTTCACCGACGACGCACAGCAGCACGTCGCTTCCTTGAACGCTTTGGGAGTCGACGTGGGATCTGAGATACTCGTTAACATAATCGAGAGCAAATTACCTAAAAATACAGCCGAAAAGTGGGAGGAAACGCTCGGACGCGACGAGTTTCCGAAGATCGACGAGCTGTACGAGTTTTTATGTCGGACTGCGGTTCACGTATCTAAGCGTGTTCGCTCAGAAACTGTTAGACTCGATGACAAGAATCCATCCTCAGCAAAAAAACCGCGCATAACTAACAAGGCCTTCATAAGTAATGCAGTGAATAGTTGCATAGCATGTAAAAACAAGCAACATCCTTTATATAAGTGTGAGAAATTTAAACAATTGGATGCTTCCAAGCGTATTGAACTCGTAAGGAACGCCAGGCTTTGCTATAACTGCATGCGTTCGCATAGGGGCAAGCCTTGCAATTACGCGAATTGCACGATTTGTCAGAAACGTCACAACACGCTTTTACACCTCGACAAATATTCGTCCGCCGCGATGGGAGTCAACACGGCGGATTAAAAAACGGATAAGACTTCATGACTGCAACAGGAAATTAGGGCCGGCGCCATGTGTCTCACAACGACTTCACCATCTTTCACGCCGCAGTTAATGACCACAGCGATGGTGCTCGTACAGAATCGCGAATTGAATTGGATTAAATGTCGCGCGTTAATGGACACATGCGCTACCGCGAGTTTCATTTCTGAAAATTTTGCAAAACGTTTAGGAAACCCGATAACCGCGTGCTCATTCCCAATCGGTGCAATTAATTCTATGAATACATTGTCGAAGGGCGTTATTCGAATCACCATCCGGTCATCAAACAGCGAAATCTGTAAAGATTTAACGTGTCTATTGATTCCAACTATTTCAGATTCAGTTCCATCAGAATATTTTCCTCGAGAAACTATCAAAATACCGCACAACATACCATTAGCAGATCCAGAATTTCACGTGCCGCACCCCGTGGATATATTAATCGGTTCCGGGCCGACATTATCTTTATTTTCAATAGGTCAAATCAATTTATCTCGAGACGGCTTCGATCTATTTTTGCAGAAAACGCGATTAGGTTGGATAATTGCGGGGGGCGGTGCTTCGCCGAGTCGTCCGAAGTTCGCCGCGTGCTCGTTAACTAACTTAGAAAGGCAAATCGCTAATTTTTGGACGATTGAAGAAACAATAAATGGCACACCAAAATCCATCGAAGAGATTGATTGCGAAACACATTTTACAAACAATGTTACGCGTTGCAACGATGGTCGATACATGGTACGATTACCATTTCGTAAAGATGATAGACGACTCGGTGAATCACGTACTGCCGCTCTTAAACGCCTGCAATCTCTCGAACGTAAACTCAACTCCGATTCACATTTAAAAACAACATACTCACAAGTAATACAAGAGTATTTAGATCTAAAGCACATGTCTCCAATCGATGAGCCACTTGACGACGGGTTTTCCATGCCGCATCACGCAGTGATTAAGAATTCGAGTAACACGACCAAGGTCCGCGTGGTGTTCGATGCGTCAGCAAAAACAAGCAACGGTCCCTCTCTAAACGACTTGTTGTTAGTGGGACCCACTATCCAAGATCAGTTATTTATACATTTAATTCGTTTTCGTATGTATAGATACGTGTTGTCTGCCGATATAGAAAAAATGTATCGGCAGATATTACTACATCGAGACGATCGAATATACCAATGTGTGCTTTGGCGTCAGGACGGTCAAATTAAGACTTTCCAACTTAACACGCTCACTTTCGGCGTGTCTTCATCGTCTTATCTCGCGATACGCACCATTCAAAAACTCGCCGATGATGAACGCGACGAGTTTCCTAATGCCGCGGAAGTCCTTAAAAATCATCTTTACGTTGACGATTTATTGACCGGAGCAAGAACCATCGAGGAAGCGCGTTCGCTGCGAAATGAGTTAATTACGCTATTATCTCGCGGCGGCTTCAACATCCGACAATGGGCCTCAAACGAGAAACGCGTTATCGAGGATCTAAGTCTTGACGCCGTGAATTCCAATCTTGTAATTGACAAGGCTGGTGCTTTAAAAACGTTAGGTATATCGTGGTCCGCAAGCAATGACATGTTAACTTACTCGGTCCGTTCTATCGATCGCACCAGACGGATCACGAAACGAACCGTCATATCAGAAATTGCCAGAATATTCGATCCTTTAGGCATTTTAGGGCCAGTTATCTTATATGCCAAAAAACTAATGCAGGATTTATGGCGATGCAAGGTAAAGTGGGACGAATCCATCCCCACCAGCATACATTGCGCATGGGTCGAATTCGCGGCACAATTAGATTCTATTAACAAGTTATCTATTAATCGTCAGATATTAATTCATAACTATATTGACGTTCAGATCCACGGATTTTGCGACGCGAGCAATACAGGCTACGGCGCCTGCTTATACATTCGCTCGAACGATGGATATAACACGCATTGTTATCTTCTATGTGCTAAATCGCGGGTCGCGCCGCTAAAAACCGTAACGATACCGCGTCTCGAGTTATGCGGTGCACTTCTTTTATCCAAATTATACAATGAGGTTCGTCGCGTGATAAAATTAGACTTCAGCAAAATAGTTATGTGGTGCGATTCGACTATAGTACTAAATTGGTTGAGGACTTCAACGCATCTTTTAAAACCTTATGTATCCCATCGAGTCGCGCAAATACAGGAAATCACACAGCCACAAATTTGGCGACATGTTAGGACAAAGGATAATCCAGCCGATGCGTTATCCAGAGGTCAGCTACCAAAGGACTTTTTAAATAATCATTCTTGGTTCTCGGGGCCGTCTTGGCTAAAGAAATGTGAAAACGAGTGGCCTAATAACATAATAGAATTGAACGAAATACCGGAACTTAGAAAAAACATTTGTTTGACAACCGACGTCGTTGATTATAGTATCTTACAGAGATATTCATCATACTCGAAACTGCTGCGTATTGTGGCGTGGTGCCTGCGTTTTCATCCGAGGAACACGTATCGTGGACAATTACATATAAACGAGTTAGAAGAAGCAGAAATCAAAATAATAAAAATCATTCAAACTCATAACTTCTCGCGCGAATTAAAAGAATTGAAACACGGGCGGTCGGTAAATAAAATCAATATCGCCGCTTTGAGTCCATTTATTGACGAAAATGGCATAATTCGCGTCGGCGGAAGGTTGAGTAAGTCTAGATTGGCGTACGCACAAAAACATCCAATTTTATTACCGAGTCGCCATTTCTTTACTGATCTCATTATTAGAGAGACGCATGAAAGGTATTATCATACCGGCATTCAAACGACACTGTACATGATTCGGCAAAGGTTTTGGCTGCTCGATGGACGTAACCAGGTCCGCAAAATCATAAAATCGTGTATACGTTGTTTTCGATTTAATACAGACACCGTCAACTATAAAATGGGCGACTTGCCGAAGAATCGAGTGCGTGAAGCGTTTCCATTCGCGAATACCGGTATAGATTTCTGCGGACCTTTCTACGTCAAAGAGAAAAAACATAGAAACCGGAATCGAGTCAAGACATACGTATGCGTCTTCATATGTATGGTAGTAAAGGCCGTCCACCTGGAAGTGGTGAGCGATCCCACCACCGACGGATTCCTTGCCGCTTTGCGACGTTTTGTGTCAAGACGCGGCGTTCCGACACATATACACTCTGATAACGGGACCAACTTTGTTGGAGCTAACAATGAGTTGAAGGAATTATACCGTCTTTTTAATTCTGAAGAACATAAAAATAAAATTAATCAATTTTCGTTAGAACACCCCGTCACGTGGCATTTCATACCATCCGTTACTCCACATTTCGGTGGGCTATGGGAATCCACGGTAAAAATATTTAAACACCATTTTAAGCGCGTAGTCGGAGACACTTTATTCACCTTAGAAGAATTTAATACCTTTACCATAGAAATCGAAGGTATATTAAACTCGCGACCTATATCCGCTCTTTCCTCCGATCCTAATGACCTCTCCGCCCTTACACCTGCGCATTTTTTGATCGGTAAGCCGTTGAATAATCTACCTGAGCTCGATCTCTCATCTGTCCCAGCAAATCGCCTATCTACCTGGCAACACATCCAAAAGGTGCGACAAGATTTCTGGACACGATGGCATTTAGAATACCTCAACGAGCTACAAGTTCGACATAAGTGGATCAAAAATGGAGAAAAAATCACCATCGGAATGATCGTGCTTGTAAAGGACAAAGGACTCCCTTGTCTGCAATGGGCTCTCGGCAAGGTCACAGAAATTCATCCCGGTGAAGATGGAATCCCACGAACCGTGACTATCAAGACTCGTTCTGGAATGCTGAAGCGTTCAGTGAAGTGTCTATGTCCACTTCCTATCAATCTATGACGCTATAATTGCAATATAGTATAAGCACGATCTACGAGCAATCCTGCCGTAAGCAGGTAGTTAGACAAATGTAATACTGTAGTCTTTTGTGCTGAAGTGTATTGTGTCTTACTATATATATGTAAAACTTGAATTTAAATAGTATTAAAAGTATGGATTGAAATTACAATTAGCAAAAATGTATGCAAACTTACGAGATACATTATTCATACAAGATTTTCCAAGGACGCTGCTAGAAGAGCTAGGTAATGTGCAACTTTCCGTTTTCATTGTAACTGTTTCTGCACCAGTTGAAGAAATGATAGACCAAGGCGCCATCATGTATGGCTTATCACCAAGAAGAGTCTCCATGAGCTAAACAGTTTAAACAGTTACAAATATATTGTCGCGTACACATTAGTGGTACCACTACGCATTTATATACACGCCGAAATATATATATATATATATATATATATTATCTATCGCCGACGCGAAACGTGAGGCGACAGACTGGCGCCGTGATCGGTGCCTTCTTTCTTCTTTCTGTCTCATCGACAAAGAAAGTATTACCCGCCCAATTGCGACGTCAACCATTCTGATTGGTAGGCGATCACTGACGGATTTTCCTATAAAAGGAATCACCGTTCGAAGGGTCCGCTCAGATATCGAAACACAAGCGCATAGAATAAGACTTCAATTCCTTTTCTCCGTGAAAAACGAGACCAAGTTCTCTAATATATTATATCACGAGGCCGAGTCCTCTTATAATCGTAACAATACTGTATGAATATAAAATAATAAAGTTATTTCTAAAATAATACGTGGAGTGAACTTCCCTGTATACTACAAAACATATATATACACAGAAAAAAATGCTGTTGATTCAATTAAAGTCAATATTACGGGCTGTCACTAATATAAGTGATTAATTCATGTACTGTGACGTGACATTTTGTCCGTCACTGTGCGGACTTGTCGACGGCAGACTCGCGCTTCCTACCGGCTCAGCAGATCATACAACAGAACACGAGCTAACGGCGAGTACATTATTCAAAACTAACAAGTTACTGATCGCGCTATTCCTCTATCCTTCACCTTTTCATAACGACATCATGACCGAGAGAATTAAACTTCTTATTCAGAAGCGAACTTCTTTAAAATCACAAATTACTACCTCTTTTGCGTAATGATCAAGCGTGACAGGAAGCGTAGACGCGCCACGGATCACGCTCGGCAGCTACCGTGAAATGCCATTGTATCGCCGTGCCTTCTCGCCCGCCACCCTTGGAAGGAAGACCGAAGGACAGGACTGGGAGGAAGGAAGAAGAAGAGCAGAGAGGAGGGCACACATCCGGGAGCCCGGATGAGCAGGTTGTATCGTTTCATATCATTGCTTGTAACCGCTGTCGAAAATAAGAGGAACAATACTTTCATCATGCACCCCTTGCAGAGCACCGGAGGAGGCCAGAATTCCCGGCCACCCTGGAGGGGCCGGACGAACGTCCGTCGGAAGCCTAGGGCACGACGAGCGGGAAGAAAGTCCATCCCGATCTCCTCCGCCAGGCCAGGAAGTGCAGGGGCCGTGAATCAGGACGCCACCCTTGACAGAAATCCTCATTGCGAGCTCGCATGAGCA